GAAAAGTAGGTTCGACTTGGTGAACGCCTCCGAAGCTGCTAGGAAGCGTCTGCGTCATTTCCGCCAGATAGGGAACGTCCAGGAGTACACACGACGGTTCTTGAGCATCTGCAACGAGATAGACGACATCACGGAAGCAGAGATGCGCGATCGCTACCTCGAAGGTTGAAGCCGGACATAGCGGATGTCATAGCGATTCACGGGTTGTCCACCTTCGAGTCGGTAGTCGCAGCAGCAGAACGCGTCGACGCAGTACGAAGCCGACGGGGTCGTGACGATCGCGATAGGGGATACAACAGACCGATCAACGACGCTCGATCGAGGGACGGACCGTCGCCCATGGAGATTGGTGCAGTTAACAGTGACGGCTCACAGCGAACGGGTTTTAGGGGGAACTGTCACTACTGCAAAAAGTCGGGTCACATGAAGCGGGACTGTCCACAGCTTAAGGAGCGGCAGCAGGGAAACGGAAACCGCCAGTAGATAGCGGGTCGCTAGCTGGTGTGGAGGCTTCCGTACCCGCCAAGTCTACCGACGTAGAGGAGACAGCTCTGGAGCAGTCATCTACGGAGAACGGGGTAGACACTGTTGATCGTCCAGTCGTACTTCTAGGGAAGCTTCGCGGAGTACCAGTTAAGATTCTCGTAGATAGCGGAGCTAGCCACTCGTTCGTTTCGTCTTCATTAGTTAGTCGTCTCCATCTCGAAGCGGACACTTCAGTCAACTTCAAGGACGCACGCATGGTAGATGGGACGCCTCTCCACATAGGACCGATCATTCGCAAGTTGCGCGTAGTGCTAGGACCGATCACAGTTAGGCGTGATTTCGACTCTGCGACGCTGGACGGATACGATTTCATCTACGGGAGAGACTGGCTGCGGACGGTTAGTAAACAGTTCGATTGGGCTCAGGGACGCTGCAGTGTCAAGGTAGACGGGGAGTTCCGGGAGCTGCCACAGTGGAGCGATGGGGCCACATCATCCACAGCTATCATTAATGCTGTTCGTGTGCGACAGTTAGTGAAGCGTGCGGCACGGATCTTCGCGGTTTTCCTTGAGGAGGTGGAAGCTGAGGAGGGGAAAGGAGGGAGTGCAGCAGTTAGTGAGAAGGCGACTCTTCCTGCTGAGGTGAGTGCACTGTTAGCAGAGTTCGCAGACGTCTTCCCCGACGAGTTGCCCCCAGGGTTACCTCCCAGCCGAGCAGTAGACCATCGAATAGAGTTGGAGCCGGGGAGCAGGCCAGTAGCGAAGCCGCAGTGGAGGTTGAGTCCAGCAGAGACAGAGGAGATGACGCAGCAGGTTAGGCACTTTCTTGCGCAGGGGTTCATACAGCCATCAAGATCACCTTGGGCAGCACCGATCCTGTTCGCGCCTAAGAAAGACGGAGGGTTACGGATGTGCATAGATTACCGCGCACTGAACGCCGCCACCGTCAAGAATAGATTCCCGGTGCCGAGAGTAGAGGATCTTCTCGATGCAGTGCAGGGCGCTAGAGTCTTCTCCAAGATCGACCTTCGTTCGGGTTACCACCAGATTCGCGTAGTTCCAGAGGATCAGCACAAGACGGCGTTTCGTACGAAGCAGGGGTTGTACGAGTTTAGAGTTCTACCGTTCGGATTGACCAACGCCCCAGCGACGTTTCAGACGCTCATGAACACCGTTCTCTCAAAGTTCCTAGGTTCGTTCGTTGTCGTTTACCTAGACGACATCCTGATCTTCTCCAAGTCGAAAGAGGAGCACGTGCAGCACTTGCAGAGGGTCTTTGAGGTCTTGCGGAGGGAGAAGCTGTACGCGAAGCAGTCGAAGTGCGAGTTCTTCCTCCCCGAGGTCGAGTTTCTAGGTCACGTCGTTTCCGCTAGTGGCATTAGGACCGACCCGAAGAAGATCGCAGCAGTACAGGATTGGATAGCACCGACCTCAGTCAAGGAGCTGCAGAGCTTTCTCGGATTCGCGAACTATTACCACCGTTTCGTTCAAGGATACGCTTCCATCGCTAGTCCACTCACCGACCTACTTCGGAAGGGTGTATAGTAAGTTTGGGGTCCAGCGCAGCAGCAGGCGTTCGAGCAGATGAAGCAGTCGCTCACGTCTTCACCGACACTGTCGTACCCCGATCCCACTCGCCCGTACGTTGTAGTGACCGACGCTTCAGATCAGGCCATAGGTGCAGTGCTTCTTCAGGACAAGGGCCGCGGGTTGCAGCCGATCGCGTACGAGTCGCGTAAGCTTAGGGGAGCGGAGCTGAACTATCCGATTCACGACAAGGAGGCGCTAGCGATTATCCATGCGTATAAGGTGTGGAGGTGCTACCTAGAGGGGGCAGAGAGTGTTGTACGCACGGACCACTGTTCGCTTCGCTTTCTCAAGTCGCAGCCGCAGCTGAGTCGTCGCCAGGCTAGATGGATGGTGCTCATGGAGGGGAGTTTCCACTACAGGATAGAGTACAAGCCAGGCGTTCGCAACCCAGCAGATCCGCTCACTCGCCCTAGTTGCCAGCTCGCTAGTCTCACAGTCACTGCTGGCCATCCACTTCTCACAGCACTCTTCGAGCACGGTTACACTGTAGATCCCGACTTCACAGCACAGCCGCCCGCAGGAGCAGAGGTGCAGGGTAGTGTCTACATACGGAAGGGCACAGCACGGATTTGGGTTCCAGCCTACCGCCCTCTTCGACAGCTCCTTCTCTCAGAGGCACACGATGTAGTTAGCGCGGGTCACTTCGGAGCAGACAAGACGGCTAAGACGCTTAGTCGCACGTACTTCTGGCCAGGGCTTGCAGCAGACGTAGAGGATTACATCCGCCCGTGCGACACGTGTCAGCGTACGAAGTCCTCTCGCCAGCGCAAAGCAGGACTCTTGCAGCCGATTCCACCACCCGACCGCCCTTGGCAGGTAGTCACCATGGATTTCATCATGGCTTTACCGCGCACAGTTAGGGGTCACGATGCCATCTTCGTGGTAGTGGATAAGTTTTCTCGAGCAGCGCACTTCATCCCCACGCACGGCCAGGTCACAGCAGAGGAAGCCGCGACGCTGTTCGTAGATAACGTAGTCCGACTGCACGGGGTTCCAGATTCCATCATCTCAGACCGCGACCCTCGTTTCACTTCGAAGTTCTGGAAGCAGCTTTTCGCACTGTTTGGGACTCGCTTAGCCATGTCGTCTGCGTACCATCCAGAGACAGACGGACAGACTGAGCGTGTGAACCAGACCTTGGAGCAGATTCTTCGCAGCATCACGATGCACGACGCAGCAGCATGGGACAAGAAGCTGAGCATGGCCGAGTTCGCATACAACAACACGCACCACTCCGCCACAGGCATGTCACCGTTCTTCGCACTGTACGGTCAGCACCCCAATGTCCCCACTCGTGTCGATCTCACACCCACAGTCCCACGTGCTGACCACTTCCACCAGCACCTCACTTTCATTCACGACCACGTGAGGAAGCACCTTGAGCTTGCAAATGCACGCATGGCAGGCATCACCAACCGCAGTCGTCGTGAGGTGTCGTTCGCAGTTGGCGACCGTGTTCTTTTGGACAGCCGCAACCTCCGACTGCCACAGGACGGCAAGCTTCGCCCACGTTTCATTGGTCCATTTGTCATTGAGCGCGCACTTGGTCCAGTCGCATACCGCCTTCGCCTTCCCGCTCATTTCCGCATGCACCCGTCATTCCACGTGTCTCTCCTCCGTCCATACACCTATCCCAACGCCACCTTCTGTCAGAATCCCAGCCACTAACCACTGGGATAAAAGGGCTTGTTTGTGTAGCGGGTGAGTGCGCCCATAACCCCCCAGGCCGACGTGCCTGTAACCCTTCCCTAAGATCATCGGGGATCTCCAGTGGACCTCTGACACCTTCTCGGGCCGTGATCGCACTCCACTGCCGGTAGCTGTTGACACCGACGAGCCCGACTACCAGATCCAGCGCATCCTCAGGCACCGTCGCCGTCTCCAGGGGGGTGTCTCTTTCATCGACTTCTTTCTGTTCGTTGGCGTGGTTACGATGCAGCCGACGACAGCTGGGTTCCTTCGTCCTCGCTGTCTCCCGACAACGCTTGCCTCCGAGCGTACCTTCAGTCTGCAGGCGCCGCGGACGTCGCCTCCTTGGGAGGGGGGTAGTGTTAAGGGGGGATTTACTGTTCATTTTGAACAGTACTTTCCAACTCACCCTTATCCTTATCTTCCTAGATTTCCTAGTGCCACGTGGCACTCTACTTTTCTTGCACTACAATTCCTAGTCCCACAAACCACTTTCCCACAATTGCTCTTGCATGCTATGTCAACCCTGCTTGTATCCACCAATATCAACCAATTCTCATTCAACTCTTCTTCAATTACTCAGTTACTTCTTCGCCTATTTCGCCAACACTCTCTTTCGCCAAAGTCTTCCGCCGCGTTTATCCTCGACTTAGTCGACCCCGCTAATTCTTTAGCGGACTTAGGCCATCGGTCCTAACATGCGCTTATAATAAAACAAGTTTTTTCAAGAGGTGCGCTTATAATCGAGCAGCGGATATAAGCGCCATGCGCCAATTAAAAGCGCCAGGCGCTTATCCGAGGGTGGCGCTTATATCCGGGGTATGACGGTAAGATGCAATTGAATTACAAGGTCAAGCACTGTAGGGCTGTCTGTGGAAGTCATGCAATGTCCATTCATAAGGCACATGACAAAAAAGGAAACTTGTATCCTTTCGTTTTTCAGTCAAATGTGGTTGTGTACAAGCAATAAAAGTTGGCCTAAACATATCTTTCCCCACTCTCGCACCGTGCTCCTCAACAACACCCCACTTATTACGGTAGGCACTCAACAAACCATGCATCGGGAATCGCACGTGCACAGCTTCAAGCACTGTCGTCCTCATTGCAGATTCTTTAACCCAAGCGGTGGGGTTTTCTCACCGTTTCTTGCACTCTCATCCTCGTTGCAAGTACAGTATCAAGCACAAGCAGGCCCCATTTTTCATATAAAAACCCCGGCCCCTGCAGCACCCCCCTCTAGCTCTCCTCCTTGGGAGTGGCGGCAGTGCTGCCTGCACCTGGCGATGTCTGTGGAGCACTCGAGGGAGTGCCGCTGGTGGGGCTGGTGGGGGGTGAGAAAGAGAGGGGACATTTGGAGGGGAAAGAAGTTGGGAGTGGGGAAGGGGGGTGGTGGAGATGTCAGGTACCAACCAGGTGGGGTAGGTACCAGGTGGGGTAGGTACCAGGTGGGGTAGGTACCAGGTGGGGTAGGTACCAGGTGGGGTAGGTACCAGGTGGGGTAGGTACCAGGTGGGGTAGGTACCAGGTGGGGTAGGTACCAGGTGGGGTAGGTACCAGGTGGGGTAGGTACCAGGTGGGGTAGGTACCAGGTGGGGTAGGTACCAGGTGGGGTAGGTACCAGGTGGGTAGGTACCAGGTGGGGTAGGTACCAGGTGGGGTAGGTACCAGGTGGTGTAGGTACCAGGTGGGGTAGGTACCAGGTGGGGTAGGTACCAGGTGGGGTAGGTACCAGGTGGGGTAGGTACCAGGTGGGGTAGGTACCAGGTGGGGTAGGTACCAGGTGGGGTAGGTACCAGGTGGGGTAGGTACCAGGTGGGGTAGGTACCAGGTGGGGTAGGTACCAGGTGGGGTAGGTACCAGGTGGGGTAGGTACCAGGTGGGGTAGGTACCAGGTGGGGTAGGTACCAGGTGGGGTAGGTACCAGGTGGGGTAGGTAGAGCCAGACTAGAGACTGGAAGCTTTTGTGGAACGAGAGGGCTAACAGGAGGGCGGATGCGGCTGAGCAAAAGGTGGAAGACAAAAAGCATAAAGCCGCAGGCAGGAGAGGGGAGGCACTCACGTGAACTGGGGAGACGTGGGGCTGTAGGCAGAGCCGCTCGGCGTGTATGCAGGGCTGCAGCAGGGGGAGATGGATAGAGAAGCAGAGATGGTGAGATCATGGTGCTACAGAAGAGCAAGGCACAAGTGGTGGGAATGGTGGGACGGAGTGGTGGCAGTGGCGGCAGTGGTGGCAGTGCCAATGCAACACCGTACCTCGTTGGCGAGTAGTTGGGGGCGGTGGAGGCACCTCCAGACGGAGTGGCAGCAGAGGGAGTGGCGGTTGTAGGCGAGTAGGAGGGGGAGGTGGGGGAATAGGAGGGCGAGGTGGGGGAGTAGGAGGGGGATGTGGGAGAATAGGAAGGGGAGGTGGGCGAATAGGCGGGCGAGGGAGAGTAGGTGGGGGGCGCAGGCGAGTAAGACGGGGCTGAGGGTGAGTAGGATGGAGAGGTGGGGGAGTAGGAGGGGGATGTTGGGCTGCAAGAAAGAAGTGGGGGGAGGGGGTGGGTGGGAGGGAAGGGGCGAGAAAGAGGATTGAAGAATGTAAGTGGATGTGTGAGAAGACATGCATCAATCAAATGAGCATAATGTGCCCAACAGAAAAACAAAATGCGTTGCCATGCATAACTAGATGGTAAAAAAAGGTTGAATATATAATCAGGAATATGTACATATATACATAAAATATACACATATACATATATATACATATATACATTCTAAAAATAGGAGGGACTCAAAAGAAGGGCTAAAGGGAAACCATAATTATGGGAAAAAGGGCATACAAGAAACAAAGGGTTAAGAAAATATATATGTTAAAAAAAAGGAAAGAAAGAAAGAAGAAGAACAACAAAAGAACACAATATTTAGGTCTAAAGGCGTTACGAAACAAAAAAGATGTGGAGAGAAGCATGTGAGCATGTAGGAAGAAAACAGCGGACGCCATCACAGCACTGGTAGCAGCAACAGCAAGGGCAAGCAGGTGAGAAGAGGGGCGTGAGTGAGACGAGGCTGACCTGTAGCCAGGGCTGGTGGGCGAGTAGGCGGGCGACGTGGGGCTGTAGGAGGGGCTGTAGCGCGGGGAGGACGGCGAGTAGGCAGGGCTGGTCGGGCTGTAGCTGGGGGACGTGGGGCTGTAGCCTGGCGACGTGGGGGAGTAACTGGGGGAGGTCGGGCTGTAGCTTGGAGAAGTCGGGCTGTAGCCGGGGGAGGTAGGGCTGTAGCTGGGAGAGGTAGGGCTGTAGCTGGGGGAAGTTGGGCTGTAACTGGGGGAAGTAGGGGAGTAACTGGGGGAGGTGGGGCTGTATGCGGGGCTGGTAGGAGAGTAGCTGGGACTGGTGGGGCTGTAGCTGGGGGAGGTGGGGCTGTAGCTGGAGGGCGAGTAGGCGGGTGAAGCAGGGCTGTAGCTGGGGCTGGTGGGGCTGTAGCTGGGGGAGGTGGGGGAGTAGGCAGGAGACGTGGGGCTGTAGCTGGGAGACGTGGGGGAGTAACTGGGGGAGGTGGGGCTGTAGTTGGGGGAGGTGGGCGAGTAGGTGAGGGAGTCAGGGGTATAGGAGGGGCTGGTGGGGGAATAAGCAGGGGAGGTAGGGCTGTAGCCGGGTGACTGCGGGCTGTAGCTGGGGGAGGTGGGGCTGTAGTTGGGCGATCGGCCAGGGGAGAACGCCAGGCCTCCCACGTACGGCGAGAACTGCGCGTCCGAAGCTGCGGGTGAGGCTCGGAAGTTGGGGCTGAGGAGGTAGCTCGGGGACATGGCCATCTCGTGGTACGGCGTGGCGTTAGGCCCGGGGGAGCGCGCCGGAGTCATGCCGAACGCCGCCGCCCCCATGCCGCCCATGCCGCCCATGCCGGCCGCAGCATCCAGCTGCAGCTCGATGGCATGCTTCAGCATCGCCTCGTTCATGTAAAGATCAAAGCTGCCCGTTCCCAGCGGGCACAGCTGCCCGAGCATAATGTTTTCCGACACGCCCTTGAGCCGGTCAGCCTCGGAATATATCGCAGCATCCAGCAGAATATCCACGGTCTCTTCAAAAGAACACCGCATCATGGGCCCCGTGTCGTTGCGGTTGATGCCGTGGCGCGTGATGGACATGAGATGCCCGCGGTAGCTCATCACGTCGCACAGAATGGCCAGGTGCCGGTAATTGACATAGGAGCCGTCGAAGGAAATCACGTCTCTGAGTTCCTTGAGCAGTGTGTTGCGCACGGCCTCGATGCCCAGCACCTCAAACACCTCCATGAGGTAGTTGCTGCGGATGCGCGCGGGGTCCACGGCCTCGTGCGCCATCACCTCCAGCATGCTCACGCCCTCCGTGTCCAACACCCACTCCGCCTGCGTCACGAACCCCTTCTCCTCGTGGAACTGCTGGTGCTTCAACTCGCGAATAAACACCTTCTTGATGGCCTCGATGCCGCGAAGAGACATCTCCGTGAGGATGTTCCCCGCCACCTCCTTGAGAAACACGTCGTCGTCCGCGCTCAGCTCGTCGCCCTCCGCGCCGCCCCCCGCGCCGCCCTTGGCCGCCTCCTCGTTCAAAATGCGCAGGCGCAGAATGAGCTTGGGCGCGTTGTCATCGGAGAAAATGCACGTGAGGTCCTTGTCAAACTCCTTGGAGATCTTGTCGCCGATGGCCTCCATGGTGAGCTTCTTGTCGACCATCATCTCGCGGTTGAGCTCGATGCGCAGCAGCCACGGGCTCATCTTGTCCACGTCCAGCCCCTCGTCCGGCATCTCAAAGTACGACTGCACCGTCTCCAGGTCCTCCTCGATCACCGTGGTCATGGGGTCGGGGTCGTACCAGATCTCCGTCGCCTCCGTCACGCTGCGCAGCGTCGTGTACTCCAGCTCCACCTGAGTTAAAATGGGGGGCAAGACGAAAATGGGAGACGATGGGGACAGGTTTTATACTTCAACCCAGGTCAGCACAAGCCAGTGACAGACACATCACCACATTTCGCACACCGCACACCTAAGGGCGTATTCCAGGCTGGTGGCAGGGCAACTGTTCAGCTTTGACCTGGTGGCAACTTTCCCAAAAACACAGGGGGGCCAGAAAATGCGCATGCCACCAACTCAACGTAAACAATTGCCCTGCCACCACCCTAGAATATGCCCTAAGATGAGAAAGACGCTCTGGCGGCGTAATGCCCCGCTTCAGGATGCGGGACACAGGATGCAAGCGGGAACGCTGGACGTTACGCCTTTTTTTCGGGCAGCCCAAAAAATGTTATTCTCGCGAAATCAGCACCCAACCAAATCAAAAACAAGTCCGAGAAGCGGCCCCAACAAATTCCCCCCCTCAACCGCACGAAACAGCACAACTAGAAAACGCAAGGGAAAAAAGCTCCGGGACTGGCCAAAAAACTTGCAGGCAGGCAAGAAGAAACTTTTCTGGCAGACAAGAAAATAGCAGGGCTTTTGAAGATATTTTTTTTCCGGGCAGGCAAAAAAACTTATGGGCAGGCAAAAAATTTCCGGGCAGGCAAGAAAACTTCCGGGCGGGCCAAAAACTTCCGAGCAGGCAAAAGACTTCTGGGCAGCCAAAAAAATACATTTCGGCAGGCAAAGAAAAGGTCCAAGAGACTAGAGGGGTTGGGGACATAGCAAAAATGGAAAAAATGAAAATGGTCTCACAGATGAAGGCATCATTTTTTTGCGTTCCAATAATTTTGATTGCCCAGAAGTTTTTTGGCTGCCCGGACCTTTTCTTGGCTGCCCGGATTTTTTGCCTGCCCTGAAGTTTTTTTGGCCTGCCCGCCCTAGCTTTTTTTAGCGTACAGTAGACGGCTGTTTAGGCACCCAGCGTCCAGGACGCTGGATGCGTCCTCACCGCACGCACACACACCACCCACGCCCTTTACCTGCACGTTCTTGGCTGCCTCCTTAGCCCCATCGCGGTCAGTCTGGTCGACGTGCGGGCCCAGGTACACGGTGAGGGCGGGCGTCTTGTTCTTCTTGGCGACGTTGATGATCTCCCTCAGCCGCGGCACGCCCAGCGTGACGTTCTTGGCGCTCACACCGGCAAAATGAAACGTATTCAGCGTCATCTGCGTGGCGGGCTCGCCGATGCTCTGCGCCGCCACGCACCCGATCATCTCGCCCGCCACCGCCTGCGACTGCAGGAAGCGGTACTCCACCTCGCCCACCACCCAGTCAAACGCCTCGCGCGACAGCCGGAACTCCTGCAGCACGCGCTTGCTGGCCAGCGTGGAGCGCAGCAGGATCTTGAAGAAGAGCGTCGCGTTCTCCTGGGCTTCTCTAGACAGCGGGTCGTCGCCCACCACGACCATGAGGCGCTGCTGCAGCTTATCCACAGCGTCGATCACGTCCAGCGGGGACAGATCCGACGGCTTGTGCGTGTCGATGCGGAACATCTTCTGCGCGTTCCACACGAGGCGCTTGAGGTTGACGGGCATGGGCCACGTGGCGTCGCCTGACGGGGCGATGTCGCGACCCAGCACGCGCCGGTCCCTCTCCAGCTGCAGCATCTCCGCCCTCAGGACAAACCGCAGCGCCTCAATGGATCGGATCTCCTCCGCTGCTGCCGCCGGCATGTAGTCTGTCGGGTCCCACGCGTCGCCCTGCTCGTCCACCTCATACGCGTACGTTCTGAGAAGCTTCTTCTTGTCCATCTTCATGGAATCCAGCTTCTGGCTCTCAATCCACACAGCGTCCATGCCATCCTCGCCGTACAGAAACTGGATCACATCGCCTTGGGAATTCCTCACCGTCCCATCGTACTTCACCATCAGATCTTCCATGGCCTTGACCAGCCGCCTCTGAATATACCCCGTTTCAGACGTCTTAACCGCCGTGTCAATCAGCCCCTCCCGACCTCCCATGGCGTGGAAGAAGAACTCCTGGGGGGTGAGGCCTCGCAGGTAGGAGTTCTCCACGAAGCCGCGGGACTCGGGGCCGTAGTCGTCCTTGGTGAAGTGCGGTAGAGTACGGTCGACGAAGCCGTAGGGGATGCGCTTGCCCTCGACGTTCTGCTGGCCCACGCAGGCAATCATCTGCGAGATGTTGATGAACGACCCCTTGCTGCCCGCAGTCACCATCGCCTTCACGTTGTTCATCTCCGACAGGCTCGCCTGCGCTGCTCGCCCTGCATCGTCACGCGCCTTGTTGAGCACCTGTGAGGGAAGGGCAATGTGAGAGGGGCAAGGAAAGGGAGAGATGAGAAAAGAGGCAGAGGGGGGAAGATCTACAGAGCCTGTGTGTGCCGTCACCATCGCCTTCACATTGTTCATCTCTGACAGACTGCCTTGAGCTGCCCGACCGGCATCATCACAAGCTTTATAGAGCACCTGGTGAGGGAAGCGGGGAGGGGAGTGGGGAAAGGGGAAAGAGAGTGGATGGGTTGAAGAGCCTTGGCAGCAGTCACCATCGCCTTCACATTGTTCATCTTCAATAGACTGCCCTGTGCTGCTCGCCCTGCGTCGTCACGAGCCTTGTTGAGCACCTGGAGAGAAGGAACGGGGTGGCGGGTGACGGAGGAAACGAAAAGAGGCAGGCCAAGGCCATCTCTTCAAGTCGAGTGGAAAGAGGTGAAGCAAATGAGGTTCCTTGTGCTGACTTGACTTTCCCAGTGTCAAACATAATGTGGAAACGATGATTGAAAATACTTCACTTCCTCACCTGCCTCCCTCCCTTCACACCCACCTGGTTGACTCGGTTTTCAAACGACTCTCTCAGCGTGTGTCCAGGCTGCTGCTCGAGCTCCTTGTCCTGCCACTTGCGGATCAGCTCCTTCACCTCCTCCTTCGCCTTGGCTCATATGCACTACCCCCTCCCTCATGCCTCCTTGGCTCAAACCCCACCCAACCGCTTGACTCCCCTCGCACGGACTGACCTGGTTGACTCGGTTTTCAAACGACTCTCTCAGGGTGCGCCCAGGCTGCTGCTCGAGTTCCTTGTCCTGCCACTTGCGGATCAGCTCCTTCACCTCCTCCTTGGCCTTGGCAATCGTCTCGTTGATCGTCTCCATCGTGCTCGCGTCTGCGATCGTGTCGCCGATGCCAATGCTGAAGCCCTGCTGCAGCAGCCAGTAGTTCACCAGCCACTGCGTGTGCCCCAGGAACTTGCGTGCTGCGTCAGGACCCACCTCCTCCCTGTGGGATCAAAAGATAGGAAGGAAGATTGAAGGATGAATATGCTGCCACTTCCACTCTCCCCAAATACCCCCAGCAGCAGCACAACAGCAGCAGTCCTATCAGCACCCACCAGATGGTGTGCACAAGCCCTCCCGCAGCGCTCCCCATGCTCTTCTTGCAGAGGATCCCCGAGAGCACCTCGCCCTGCTCCACGCGCACCACGGTGTCCCCCGGGGACATGTCGCCCACCTCGCCGTCGGGGTGCCACGCGGAGAAGCGAAGAGAGGCATGCCGATCCCAAGAAGCATCATCCCAACATGCCATTTTCAAGAGAGATATCACACCATGACACAGCACAGGACAGTGAGACTTACCAGATGGTGTGCACAAGCCCGCCTGCAGCGCTCCCCATGCTCTTCTTGCAGAGGATCCCCGAGAGCACCTCGCCCTGCTCCACTCGCACGACCGTGTCGCCGGGGGACATGTCGCCCACCTCGCCATCAGGGTGCCACGCGGAGAAGCGCACGAGGTTGATGGCGCGCGGGATGAAGAGAGAGAACACCTGCTTGCCCGTCCAGAGCGGGCGCGGCTTCAGGATGGCCGGCATGGGCAGCTTGCCATCAAAGTCCTCCCACCACATCAGGATGTTCATAAACACGTCCTAGAGAGGGGTGGATGGAAGAGGGTCGAAGGGAGGCGGTTGAATGAGAGAGGGAGGAGGTGGGGTGGAGAGAATGCGATGCATCATGCAGCATCACCACAGCTAGCCGTCAAAGTCCTCCCACCACGAGGATGTTCAGGAACACGTCCTGGTTGGGAGGGATAGGACGGGGTGCAGTGCGGGAGCTGAGGTGGGGGAGTGTGTAATAAGTGAGCGAAGGTGCTCAACTGCATCCTTCATTGAAGCATCCGAGTCCTCCCACCCACCACATGAGGATGATCAGCAACACCTCCCAGCAGATCCCACTTGCTCACCGTCTCAATGCACGTGATCACGCGCCTCAACACCCGCAGCTCACCTTCTCAATGAACGCGCCTCAACACCCACGGCTCACCTTCTCAATGAAGGTGTCTCGCTTGGTGATCTTCCTGCACCCCAGCAGCGAGTCCTGCACGATGCCCATGACAGGCTCCCCACAAGCGAAACAAGCGCTCTGCACTCCCAGGAAGATTCTACCATCCCACGGGCTCACCTTCTCAATAAAAGTGTCTCGCTTGGTGATCTTGCGGCACCCCAGCAGCGAGTCCTGCACGATGCCCATGACAGGCCGGTTGCTCTGCGGCGACACCACGCACTTGGGCACCAGCATGAGCTCTGACGTCTCAGCGCGCGTGGCGAAGCTCTGGCACACGTGCATGTTCATCTCGTCGCCGTCGAAATCAGCGTTGTAGGGCGAGGTCACCGAGAGGTTGAGGCGGAAGGTGGACCAGGGGAAGATGCGGATGCGGTGACCCATGATCGACATCTTGTGCAGGGAGGGCTGCCGGTTGAAGAGCACGAAATCGCCCTCCACCAAGTGACGCTCCACCTGAGGTGAAGAGGGCGTGAGGGGAGAAGAGAAGGGAAAGAGGGGGGGAAGAGGGGGGATGGGTGAGCAGAAATAAGGAGTGGCTCATGATGGACATCTTTTGCAGCAACGGCTGCCGGTTGAACAGCACGAAATTGCCCTCCACTCCACTAGATGTTGCTCCACCTGTGGGAGATGGATGCAGAAAGGGCGGAATGAAGGGAAGAAAGAGAGGAGAGGTTGAGGTGACCGTGAAAGATGGACGTTGGATGAGGATGTGCATGCGGTGGTTGAGTGGCCCATGGCGGCAGCCTGCAACACAAGGACGGCATGTCTGCCCGTTGGTCGCCTTGCCACCTGGTGAAGGGGGATGGGAGGAGAGGAAAGGAAGAAACGAGCGGGGGCGGTGGGCGAAGAGGAAGGAAAACTGGCCCATCCCACGGGTGTCCACTCTAACACAACTTGCTTGCAGCACAGCCACGCATTGCTATTGGCCCATTTCATCATACCATACCTTGTGCCCCCGCTCCAGGTGCCGGTGTTGAAGTATCGCAAGTCCATCCGCTGCCCATTTTCTCGATTAATGTACTTGGAGCATGTCTTGCAACAACCACAAACCACAACCTGTCACAACAAAAGAAAATCCTACCCACCTTGTACCCCAGCTCCAAATGCCGGTCGCTGGTCTTCTTGAGGTACTGCAGGGCCAGTTGTTGCCTGTCCTCTCTATCTTTCACCAACCTTTTGCAACAAGAGGCTATCCTCCTACCCACCATGTACCCCAGCTCCAGGTGCCGGTCACTGGTCTTCTTGAGGTACCGCAACTCCAGCCGCTGCCCGCCCTCTCTGATGATGTACTTGGCGCCTGTCCTTCACCAACCTGCAACAAGAGGCTATCCTCTTACCCACCTTGTACCCCAGCTCCAGGTGCCGGTCGCTCGTTTTCTTCAAATACCGCAGGTCCAGCCGTTGCCCATCCTCTCTGATGATGTACTTGGCGCCTGTCTTGCCCGGCGGGGGGTGCGGGCCGTTCTCCACCAGCTCCCGCAGCCTGAGAGGCGAGAAGGGAACAAGGGGAGAAGAGGATAGCGGATACGTGAGAGGGAAGTGGGGAGAAGATGAGAGGTTGAGACAGCACAGGCATCTGTCTGTCTTGCTCGTGAGCAGGTGCGGGCGGGACGTCCTCCAATTGTCAATGCGCACTCACATAACCGTCTTTATCCCTACACACACAATCTCCCCCTTTCAGACTATACGCAAGCACGCCGCACAGCACACGCACACACACACTCACACTCACTCACTTGTCAATGTTGTAGGGAGTGACAGTCTCAGGGTAAGTGAGGTTGAGCGCAATGCTCCACGGAACGCCCAGCTCATCAATGTTGATATTCGGGTCCGGCGTGATCACCGTCCGCGCTGAGAAGTCCACGCGCTTCCCCATCAGGTTCCCCCGAATGCGCCCCTCCTTCGCCTTCAGCCGTGCGCAGATCGACTTGATCGGCCGCCCCGACCGCTGGGTGGCTCTGGGCTGCCCTGGCAAGTCGTTGTCAAAGTAAGTCGCGATGTAGAATTGGAGGATCTGCAGCTGGTCGTTTATCACGTGTGCCGCCATGCCGTTCGCCTCCTGTTTTTTCACGTACTCGTTTTGCCGGATGATCATTACTAGTTGGTAGGTCAGGTCGTCCTCGCTACGTGCCGAGCTGCTCATCATTACGGATGGCCGCACGGGCGGTGGCGGCACTGGAAGCACCTGCAGGATGAACGAGTCCGGGCGGCCGTACTTGGGGTTCAATCCCAAAAGCTCGCAATCCTCGTCTGTTATGCGCTTCAAAATGCTGAGCACTCGGTCAGGCCACATCTGCTGCTTCCTCTCGGTCGGTTCTATCTGCTCCTCCTCCTCCATCTCATTCCTCCCCCGCTTCGGCGCCTTGAACTCAGCCATGATCTTCATCCCATCGATCGTGTACTTAGGCTGGGTGGCCCCGCACCCGCCGCGCCGAACCTTGCGCTCAGGGTCGTCAAAGTCCTCCCCGTCCGGGTTGGCAGGGTCGGCGCCGTCCTCGGCGCCTTCGGGGGGCGTATCTGCGGCGCACACGGAGCGCGTGCGGCAGCACTCGTACATGCGGCGCAGGCGCTGCTTCGGGTTGCGCACTCGCAGCGCCATCTTGTACCGGTAGTCGTTCTGGGGGAAGGGCGGGGCGAAATGGTGAGAAGAGAGGGAGGGGGAGGGGGAAAACGTACGCATGAAGAAGCTGGTAGCCAGGTAGGAACCAACCAAACAAATGGCGTGTGAGACGAGGCCAGAAGACAGCCAAACCCAGACGACGCCTAGTAGACTCACCGGGTCGGCGAGGATGCGCGAGCAGTCGGTAAGAGGTAGGAAAAGGCAGGTGAAAGGGTATTCCAAACACATGGCCTGGAAAACGAATCAAAAGGCATTCAGACTCAGATGCCGCCAAGTAGACTCACAGGATCCGCGAGGATGCGCGAGCAGTTGTGGCAGACGGAGCGCAGCAGCGTGAGGACGACCTTGAGGAAGCCGATGTGGAACATGGGCCGCACCAGCTCCAGATGCCCGAAGTGCCCGGGACACTCCGCCATGCTGCCCTGACACGTCAGACACTTGACGCTCCGGTCGATCGTGCCCAGGCGCGGGTCGCTCAGCCCGCCCTCGCGCGGCTTTCCGCGGTCGTACAGGTCGCTCGTGTCGATTTGGACGACGGACATGCGACGCTGGTGGGTGTCGCACACGGGAGTGGGTGTCGCAGGGGGAAGATGGGGAGGGAGTGGGAAGAAGAAAGATTAGTGCTTGCAGCAGCTGCGACGATCCTGGAGGGCCCAGACGACCGCGGCATCCGTGACGAAACAAACTGAACTCGGTACAGCTACCGTAGCCATTAATAAGCTGCCGCCATAATTTAAGACAGATAACTTCTCCCCATAGCCCTAAATTCAGTTCTCGCCATAACCCAAGCTAAGTACTCGCCAGAACCTAAGATACCTTCTGGCCATGACCCTAGTTCAATCTTCGCCGTAACTTGAAATGACTTCTCGTCGTAATATAAGTCATGCTCTCGTCATGACCCAATCTCAATTCACGCCATGGAACGAAAAATGTCGAACAGATCAACACTCCCAACGCAAATAGCGAGGCTAACGGTAACGAAGCTACTGGAATCTCAACAACTTCTCCCAACGGTTACACAACTAGCACGATGCTCGTCGAACTCGTGAAGAACATCCTAGCGCCTGACGCAACGGCTAGAACCAAACTACGAGCTAATTGGCTGTTTAGCTATTTCGGTGGCAGCGCGACGTACGATTTCATCCGGGCTGAGCACGCCGAACTGCACCGTCTTCACTTTCGCCACCTCCGCCGGCGAAAACCCGAACCGCTGCTCCATCGCGGCGGCTCCGGCGGCTTCCGCTCTGGCAGAGTCTGGTCCGCAAGCTTCTGGTTCGCCTCTCTAAGAACCTCCTTTTCTACACCAATTAGGGTTTCCTAGTGGAAATTTGAGGCGACGAATGGTGGTAAACTAAGTAGAGTATCAAAAGCAGGTCGTTGCGGTCTCGATCGACCGTGCTCAGTCCTGCTTAATCTTTATTTACCAGCAGCCATCCACAGCTCGCCTCCTCAAGGGCCTGCAGCTCGATGGGCCGCTTCTGTTCAGCTAGGAATGAGGTGGAAGGAAACTGGAAAATGGGAAGCTGATGCTGGTTATATACTGGCAACCAAAACACTGCTGCTAACGAATTGCTTGGGGGGTCCGGGGAAGGTGGGGGAACGGGGAAGATAGGCTGGGAGGACGTCCGGCACTGGGGTGGAGGAGGCGAGGTGGAGCTTACTGGGGAGGGGCGGAGCGGAATGGTTATGATTGGCGGAATTCAGCGAGGGGCGCGGAGACCCGTTGACTGGCTCTTTGGCGGGGTTGACGAAGGGATGGCGTGCAAGCAGGGGTTTCCCGAAAACGGAGTGGTGTGGGGCTGTCCATTTCTTTACGAAACCCCCTGATCTGGTACCCTTAAAGCCTGAGTCCGACATGGCTGTTTCAGATTCAAGATTCTTGGGTAATTACCTTCGGGGTAACCAACATGGAGCCCGGTGACGTCAGCAGTCACCTACGTGGCTCGATGGTACCCGTCAGATCATGCGCGCCCCTTCATGGTACCCATCTTCCCTCCGTGGTACCCATCTTCCCTGCGTGGTACCCATCAACTGTGCGCGAATTCCCTGACTGGTACCGCAACATTTCAACCGAGCAGTACACCGTACAACAAGGGTTTCAATGCCTTTTTCAGTATATTGAACAAATGTTTACAATGTTAGGCCCGACGGCCTAAGTCCGCTAAAGAATTAGCGGGGTCGACTAAGTCGAGGATGAAACGCGGCGGAAGACTTTGGCGAAAGAAATATTAGCGAAATAGGCGAAGAAGTAACTGAGTAATTGAAGAAGAGTTGAATGAGAATTGGTTGATAATGCCAAGTACAAGCAAGGTTTATATAGCATGCAAGAAACAAGGTTGGAAAGTGGATTGTGGGACCAAGAATTGGAGTGCAAGAAAAGTAGAGTGCCACGTGGCACTAGAGAATCTGAGAAGATAAGGATAAGGGTGACTTGGAATGTACTGTTCGGAATGAACAGTAAACACCCCTTTAACACTACCCCCCTCCCAAGGAGGCGACGTCCGCGGCGCCCGCAGATTGAAGGTACGCTTTGAGGCAAGCGTTGTCAGGAGACAGCGAGGACGAAGGGACCCAGCTGTCGTCGGCTGCATCGTAACCACGCCAACGAACCAAGAAGTCGATGAAAAAAACACCCCCCTGGAGACGGCGACGGTGCCTGAGGATGCGCTGGATCTGGTAGTCGGGCTCGTCGGTGTCAACAGCTACCGGCAGTGGAGTGCGATCACGGCCCGAGAAGGTGGAGTTGGGATCGGTGTATGGACGAAGGAGAGACACGTGGAATGACGGGTGCATGCGGAAATGAGCGGGAAGGCGAAGGCGGTATGCGACTGGACCAAGTGCGCGCTCAATGACAAATGGACCAATGAAACGTGGGCGAAGCTTGCCGTCCTGTGGCAGTCGGAGGTTGCGGCTGTCCAAAAGAACACGGTCGCCAACTGCGAACGACACCTCACGACGACTGCGGTTGGTGATGCCTGCCATGCGTGCATTTGCAAGCTCAAGGTGCTTCCTCACGTGGTCGTGAATGAAAGTGAGGTGCTAGTGGAAGTGGTCAGCACGTGGGACTGTGGGTGTGAGATCGACACGAGTGGGGACATTGGGGTGCTGACCGTACAGTGCGAAGAACGGTGACATGCCTGTGGCGGAGTGGTGCGTGTTGTTGTATGCGAACTCTGCCATGCTCAGCTTCTTGTTCCATGCGGCTGCATCGTGCATCGTGATGCTACGAAGAATCTGCTCCAATGTCTGGTTCACGCGCTCAGTCTGTCCGTCTGTCTCTGGATGGTACGAAGATGACATGGCTAAGCGAGTCCTAAACGTTCGAAAAGCTGCTTCCAGAACTTCGAAGTGAAACGAGGGTCGCGGTCTGAGATGATGGAATCGGGAACCCCGTGCAGTCGGACTACGTTATCTACGAACAGCGTCGCGGCTTCCTCTGCTGTGACCTGGCCGTGCGTGGGGATGAAATGCGCTGCTCGGGAAAACTTGTCCACTACCACGAAGATGGCGTCGTGACCCCTAACTGTGCGCGGTAAAGCCATGATGAAGTCCATGGTAACTACCTGCCAAGGGCGGTCGGGCGGTGGAATCGGCTGCAAAAGTCCTGCTTTGCCCTGGCGGGAGGATTTCGTACGCTGACACGTGTCGCACGAGCGAATGTAATCCTCTACGTCTGCTGCAAGCCCTGGCCAGTAGTACGTGCGACTAAGTGTCTTAACGGTCTTATCTGCCCCAAAGTGCCCTGCACTAACTACGTCATGCGCCTCTGAGAGAAGGAGCTGTCGAAGAGGGCGGTAGGCTGGAACCCAAATCCGTGCTGTGCCCTTCCGTATGTAGACACTACCCTGCACCTCTGCTCCTGCGGGCGGTTGCGGTGTGAAGTCGGGATCTACTGTGTAACCGTGCTCGAAGAGTGCTGTGAGAAGTGGATGGCCGGCAGTGACTGTGAGACTAGCGAGCTGACAACTAGGGCGAGTGAGCGGATCTGCTGGGTTGCGCACGCCTGGCTTGTACTCTATCCTGTAGTGGAAACTCCCCTCCATGAACTCCATCCATCTAGCCTGGCGACGACTCAGCTGCGGCTGCGACTTGAGGAAACGAAGCGAACAGTGGTCCGTGCGTATAACACTCTGTCAGAATAACTGAGCAGGAATGAAATGAACTAGCACAGAGTTTGGTACAAGTAGGAAACCCTAACTTTGTGTACCCCCTAAGGTGTAACCCACTACAGCCTACACAATATAAACATACAATGTTTGACACACCCCCATAGGCGCAGTGGGAGACAACCACAGGGTCACAAGACCAGTCAAAGCAAAGCAAAGCAAGCTCAGGGTGGATCTCAAGGATTCCACACAAATTCCGAGCACAAGCAAGCGGTCACAAGACCAGTTCACATGCAGGTTTATAACAAAGCAAGAGATACAGTGATCACAACCTAGCAAAAGTAAACAAGTAGGCATATATATATAGTGATCACAGTACAAGCAAGGTCAAGAGGTAAGCAAGTGAGGCCCAGTAGGTACAAGGCCTAGCAGAGTGCAAAAGCGCTGATGGTCACAAGGCTGAAGCGCCTTGGTGAACACATCAGCAGTGTTGGCCTCCGTGGCCACGTAACGCAGACAAAGCTGACCACGCTGCTGCAGCTCTCGAGCAAGGAAGTACCGCAGAGCGATGTGCTTCGTTCTGTGCTCCAGTCTGTGCTCCTCACACAAGGCAATGGCAGCCTTGTTGTCGACGTACAGCACTGGAGGAGAACGAGGCCGCTCTCCGAGGTCGGTCAGCAGGTAGGTCAGCCAGCGTAGCTCCTGAGCAGCCATGGCTGTGGCGTAGATCTCAGCCTCACAACTGGAGCTGAGAACAGAAGAAGAGCGAGTAGAACGCCAAGAAACTGAGCCAGAGCCAAGGCTGAAGGTGTAACCCTGGGACGACCGCTGAGTAGCCTGGTCGTCTGCCCAAGAAGCGTCTGAGTGCCCTGTGAGAACAACCCGGTCTCGCCCTCCAAGCACAAGCCCCATGCCCGACGTACTGCACAAGTAGCGCAACACCCTCTTAGCAGCATCCATGTGCTCCTTCCGGTGACGGCCAGGAGCGACATAGCGTGCTAGGATGCTAAGAGGGTATGCAAGGTCAGGTCGAGTGCAGGTCATCAGGTACATGAGGCAGCCCACAAGCTCTGGATACGGGCCACTCGGCTCTACGGACTCATCCGAAGGCAGAGCTGAGAGCGAGTGACCGGTAGGCAGAGGAGTGGACTGAGGCGAGGAGTACGTGAAGCGGAAGCGCTGGAGAACCTGCTGCACCATGTGTGACTGAGTCAGGGTGATGGTGCGCCGTGCTCTGTCCCGGGTGATCCGCAAGCCAAGATAGCTCGTCAGCTCACCCAGGTCTGTGCACGTGTGTCTCCTCTGCAGCTCCGACTTCACGTGGGCGAGTGCCGCGGTGTCAGCAGTGGCAAAGACCAAGTCGTCGACGTACACGAGGATGTAGAACGGCGGCAGCGAGGTGTCGGTGCGTAGAAACAGCGACGGGTCAGCAGTAGAGGGAGCGAACCCAAGAGCCGCAAGTGTCGTCCTCAGTGTGTCGTGCCACTCACGTGGCGCCTGGCGGAGACCGTAGACCGGCCGCTGAAGCCTCCACTGGGTGCCAGGAGGAACTGACCCAGTGAAGCCAGGGGGGCGGCGCAGCCAGATCTCCTCGTGCAGGCTGCCCTGCAAGAAAGCAGTGCTGAAGTCAAGAGAGTGAAGCTCGTAGTCGCGGTGAGCGGCTATGTGCAGCAGCACCCGAAGAGTAGTCATCTTCGGGGTGGGGGAGAAGGTCTGAAAGAAGTCTACTCCCTCTCGCTGACTGAAGCCTCGAGCCACGTAGCGCGCCTTGAAGACAGGCGGAGAACCCGACGGCCGCTTCACCCTGAAAATCCACATGCCACTGACGATGTTCGCCCCAGGAGGGGGAACCTCGTCTACGTAGGTGCCTGTGGACTTCCAGGAAGCCATCTCTGCGTCCATGGCTGTCTGCCACTGAGAGGAGTAGGGACCCGCCATCGCCTCAGCGTAAGAGCGTGGGGTCGGGATGTCTGGTGCATCCGGGTCTCCCTCAGGGGCAACTAGCAAGGACACGAGACGGGGCAAAGCAGCAGCAAGGCAGTGGAACTCCTCCTGTCTGTCCTCAAGGACGTCACCCCCGACGGACGGAGGACAGGCAGACGCAGACTCAGAC